CTCTGATTTGCTGTGACTCCTGTACACTTCCCTGGCAGAACTGCTATCTAGACAGGTGCTCCTCATACTTTATTACTGCATCTCATTAATCTTGCCTAAACCAGATAGCTGTTGCATGCAAAATAATGAAAATTATGGAAAAGGATTCAATTGATATGTGTATAATGAATGCCAGTTTATTTGCTTCATGGAAAACAGGCCTGGTCATAAAAACAAGCATTTAAATAATTTTTCCCAGTTGATTGCACGTTAATTGCCAGGGTAACTTGGATATTGCATATCCCCTTCATTGTGTCTTCCTCAGGCAGGCAAGCCACAGCAGTAATATGTTGAGATTTTTTTATATTATAACAGAATATGACAGAGTCTTCTGACAGTAAAAAGCTTAATTTTTTTTTAATGAAATTACTTTTTTTTAAAAAACCCCTGAGGTCTAAGAAGCCTTAAAGTAGTTTAGTGACTGTTAAATCACAGAATTTGAGACATTTGTTAGACACCATTCAATACTCTAACATTTTTCATTAAAACATGAAAATAAATAGAAACTCAATACCTGACAAAAGAGCAGTAAGTAAAAAAAGAAGGAGCATATGCAGCAAAGAATAGGCTAACGTGACCTTGGATATATAAACAAGATATAAAAATAGCCAAGACTCTTAATATATATTGTTAATAGGAATGATTTCAGAATATTGCCTATGATCCTCTTTTGAAAAATGAAAAAAACCCATAAAACTTGAAAGAAAGTACAAACACTTCAGAAGAGAGCAACAACTCTCTTGAGGGCTGGAAATGAGAGGCTTAAGAGGTCTTTGTGTTTGCCTCATAAATATAAACTTTGCAGTCAATAATGAAGTTCTCAGGGACAAGAAAAGGTGCTAGTTTTGCCTCTTTCTTGGGGTCATCTGTAATGACCTACCTTGCTGGAAGATACTGAAAATTTCAGGGGATTTTTGGGTATCCTTTATCAGTACAGACGAAATGTTCCTGGGTTATTAGTGCTGTCTTCAGAGATTAATGTCTGTGTGTGGCTCTGCTTTCCTTGTAAATCTTGGGCTTACCTACCCTAGAGGCAACAATGAAATGTCTAAAATGAGCAGATCAAACTGGGTGATCTGATATCAGACTGTGATTCCAATAAGTTGGCCAAAATCATCTATTAATCGTGTTAATTTACACATATCCTGTCTGGAGATGTGTGAAAAAAGAAGAAAATAAACTGGTGAAGTGACTATTTGGAAGGTTTTTTCCCTCAGTTGTATAGACACGATTGCAGAGTTCATCTTTAGAGGAGTATTTTGGAATGAAAATTCAAATCCCACCCTGTCAATCCTTGGAGCTCTGCTCATCGTAATTTTAGGTAAAACAGTTTCCTTGGGACCAAGTAAAACCTCTGAAAAGATTAATTTTGGTTGTAAAGTCTAATAATAGCAGTGTAAGATAATGTCCAGAAGAAAGGAAACTGAAGCTCAATATGACATAATGAGTAATAATAATAATACAATATATATTAAAGTATGTGCTGGAAAACAAAGCTAGACACTTCCAAGAATGAAATGAGCAGGTAATTAACCAATAGGCTTACAGATGTATGTTTAAGTCTGTATATTATTGTTGGGTAAGTGTTAGTATCCCCAGTTCATTTATTTAAGAAAGAATATTGTAGTCCTAAATCTGAGTTCTTTTTATCCTAAGAGTTTTTTTAAAAGGGCCTTTGAGTTCATTTTGAATCATGACATGACTTTGTAATGGCAGACCTAAACTCTTGTTCATGGGGCAAGTTTTAGAGGCATCACCTCAGAAAAGTGCCTGCTAAAAGTAGAGGTTGGATGTCACAAATGTCAGTAACATTGCTGAGTCTCAACCAGTGTACTCAGAGCTTTTCCCATAAAATATTCACTGCAGTCATTCCAGACACACTTCTGTTTATGCTGGCAGCTAATGGCTTGTCCATAATGGACACTTTTCGTTTTTTTTAAGAAGGATGGAGCTTTTTTGTGGCATAAATAAGTAAATGTAGGGAGAAGGGTCAATAAATATGGCTTAGTGATCCCATTAGCATTTTAGGGAATTTTCTCATTATAAGCATCATAGGAGTAGTGCCCACCATCGTTTTTAGTTTCTTTGCATGTCAGTTCCCAGTTCTTTTGAAACTTCTTTCCCTGTCCTGCAGGCAGAGGGGAAGCCTCCACTCCTGTGTGTAATTCAGATGTTCACATGCTGCCATTCCTCTTAGCCTGGAGCTCTTTGGCAGAGGGAATGTTCTGCCATAAGAGCTGTGAGTTGGAAGCTCCTTGGCAGTGCAGATTTGTCTGCCATCAGGTCTGTGCTGCTGGGGATAGGCTGCCTCTTAATCACCTCGTTTGAAGATAGCTTGGCTGTCTCTGTCCCACGCTGAAGTCTAGCATGTAGACATCTCCAAACCTCTGAAGTGTGCGAGGATTTCATTGCTTTATCTGTGTCCTCATTTGTATTCACCCTGTTGAATCCACAGCTCCACTGGAGTTTGTGTTTCTTTGGCATAAACATAAGGTTTACTTGATCTTTTGTATTTGCACATTTTTGATTGATAATTATTTTATGTCTTGTAATACAAGAGCAGTTGGAAAGATAGTCTTTTCATTTTTATGATTTTCATTTCTCACCCTGAAGGTGATGCCATTCTAGTTCTGGTTAATAGTTGTTTGGTGGTTTGAATTCTCCAGTTCATACAGAATTGGTAGCTACAGGTGAGAATACGTGAGCAGTCAAGAGCCTTCGTATGTCAACTGTATCAAAAATTGTATTTTAACAAAACTCAATTACTCATTGGGAATCATTTGGGAAATGTATATGAGGAATATTAGTAGATCATGGCTCAACTAAATCTAAACTTAATATACTTTCAGTGATGAATTTACTCTAGTTTTTAATTTTTTAATGTATAGCTTTGAGCCTTCAAGTAGTACTTGATTAATTCAGGCAAGGAATATTAATTAATTCAGGCTCCACTGAAGAAATGAATTAGTTTTCCTTTCTGTATTTTGGCTCTTGTTCCACAGAAGTATTAATTTTGAATACCTGGATGATGTTTATTAAATTGCAATCTTGCTACCACAAAAATTGTAAAACTGAAATGACACTTCAAACCCTAATGCTGCTTGTAGAAAAAATTATTTCGGCCTGCAGATCCAAAGGAATAGCACTTGACAAAGAGCAAGATACAACTTGAAACTCAGCTGGAAACAAAGTACATAACAAATAGTCCATGTTTTCTGGGTAGAGGGAGGATGGGAGGAAAGATGGAAAGAAGGGAACAAACACCTAAGATGAACTGAAATATTCTCAGAAACCTACTGAGCAGTTTCTCTGTCAAAAAGAAATACGTAAACTCAGTTTGTTTGGCTTTTTGGTTTTTTGGGGTTTTTTTTGGAGGTACCAGATCTCCAGTAGATTATAACTTAAAAGTTTTACACAGGAAACTGCTGCATCAAATGTCAAGTGAGAAGATGTTTCTTTTGACTCTTCCACAAGAGCATGGTAGCCTGACACAAATAGAAAATACTATGATAGCTGTAAATCACAGCTTTTTAAGCAAGTGGAGGACAGCAATAGTCTAAATGAGGACAGTGATTCTTTTTTTTTTTGAAAGCAAAATGGAGATTGTAGAAAATGATTAATGTATACTCACATTATTCACAAAGCTTCATACAGTGAAATGGTGAAGAAGGGAAGAGCAGAATACTCCTCTTTGTTGAATATATTTTTTAAATGTCATCATTTATTCACATAAATCATTTAGCTTTTATGTGCTTTATGTTGAGCTTTTTACTTGCCTGTAGGTTTGTTGATGAGACAGCAAACTTCAGTTTCAGGTTAAAAGTCACCATCCATTCAAACGTAGAGGAGCCCTAAGTGTCACCAGTACAAAAGAGAAGGGAAGGTGCTGGGTCAGGTTTTCTCTAATAATCTGCCAAGTTCAGTGTCCATGCCAAGGTGCCTTTTCCAAAAGGCAGAAGAACATGACCAGGCTTCTGCTGCTGCTCTACTGCTTTATAGAAACACATTATAGATAGCTGTACATGGATTATTTGGACAGACAAGAGGTGGAAGATAGCGCACTGCAATATAAACCCCAAAAATGTGTGACCACAATAGTGGGGTCATGTTTTAAATTAATTGTTTAATTATTTTTCTCCATCATTTAACAGTGCAAAGAAGAACTGGAATTAGTGAGATGTTAGGAGGAACTCAGGAGTCAAAACACACCAACTCAGTAATTAAAACAAACTGCCCTGTATAATAATTTTGTGTTTAAATCCTAATACAGATTTCTGAAGTTAGAGGGTTGGTTGGAACAATTCCATTAGAGGGCAGTAGTACCTGTGGGTAAAATGTCTCATGTGCTGTGTGCATGTTGTTTAGCATCAGTGAATGGAAGTGAAAAAGGAAGTTAATGTAATTTAACATTAAAATAGTGCAGAAATATTTTGTAATATACAATAGTGCACATCCCATCATATATCCAAAAAAACAACATGAATATGACAGAAGTGATGCAAAATATATGCAGCAGATATTTGCACTGTGATACTCTCTCCAAGAGAGAAACTGAAGTTGTGTGTCTTTCTGTGTTCTCCATTTGTAAATTGTATCACTTTATTTCTGGGAAGTTTATGGGTTTCATTAAAGAAATCTTAACTTTTGAAACTCTATTTTATTAGCTTTAATGCTGCAGACTATCCAGATTTCCAGACAAGGGATTGCAGGAATGTGCATGTTTAATCAGCATCTTTTAATGGTTAAATTGTAGTAGTGTACTGTGATTTGACAGCGTTTCCTGCAAAAGATTTAGGGTTTTTTATGAATTTGGAGACACTTTTTAGGTAAGAAATGTAAGCCATGAAAGCTCAAATGAACCTGGCTAACATGGCAAGTTCAGTCCTTCCTGTTTTAATACTTTGCTATGTCTAATCCAAGCAATACCACAAACACCTTTTTTTTTTTTTTTCCATTTTCAGTTGTGTTACTTGATACTACAACTGCCCTTGGAGAACTAGGATGGAAAACATTTCCTTTAAATGGGGTAAGTCTCTCACCATTTTGGTTTTTTTGGTCTGGATTTTGGCACTCTGACACTGTGGAAGTTAATGGATCTCGTACCTGGGTGGATATTCTTGCAATATCGATTTGTCTGAAAGATTTTAGTTGTTCTTGGGACTGGAGTTGGGAGTAGAAATTACAGATGCAAGAATGACATGAGTACACATTATTGTGTTCTTCTCCTGCTTTTCTGAATACTAAGTATCTATCTTACTTTAAATCCAATTCTAACTGTTACACATCATAAAGTTTCATATTTAAAAATGCCTATGCTGGAGGAATGTGTTATGACTACTTTTTTTTTTTTTTTTTTGTGAAATAAAAGGAAAAATAATTTTCTGGTTTGCAAATTGGAATAAAAATTTGATGGTTTAGGTGAGAACCAGTATGGAATTTAACATCTGATAATATGGTATCAGATTACCTAAATCAGAAAAATGAAAACATTATTAGTGTCTGTTATCCTTGGGGACAGTGAGTGTGGGGTAGAGCAGCTTTTTTACACTGTAAAGTTCAGTTATCAGTGCTTTGCCAGCAGCTACACTTTCAGAACCTGTTTTTTTTTTTCTTTCTACCCAGCTAAGGCGTGTCACAGAGTATCAGGGGCACTTGGGAGTTTCACTTTTAAAGTAAAATGCACTATTCTGGAGCATTTAACATGTTTTGTATCAACTTGTATTTCTGATGTTACTGTGCATACTGTATATCAATTATTTTTATACTAGCTTGCATTATCTCTTGATTCTTGTGTATGAGGCATATAATTACTTGCTTCTCTGAAATGAGCTCAGAAAATACAGAGAGAAACATCTTGTTCCATTTTCAGTCATTTTATTTGCCATGTTCTCTTCCAGAAGGAAGCAGAAACTGTCTACCCTCAGCACCTTAATAATCCATTTTTATAAAATGCCTTCTGTGTCTTTGCCTTCGGGGATTTCAAGCAATATGACATTTCCTAATCTCAGCCTGTTTTCAACTTTATGGATTACTCTTTTTCTTTATATTCCTAGGCATAATTTCCATCTCTCACAGATACTTCTGTGTTTTACATTTTGTATGCACTCTCACGCAATGATTCTGAAAGTTTTATTTCCTTTAAAAATCCCAGACAAAGTAAATACTGTCATACACCACAATGAGAAATGAAACAAGGAATTTTTGCTTTGGCAGAAGGTAAGGAGTGTCATCTACCATGATGAGAAAATCCACAATTGAGGAATGTTTTGCTTGAGCACTGGGATGAGCTCCATTGAAGTGCACAGTACATTTGGAAAGCACAAAAGATATAATTGCAGTTATTGTGTAAATTCTTAAAAGCTTGAGGTGCTCCAAAATAGCCACACTATACAAACACAAAAACATGAGCACTCCAAGTTAATTTAGAGCACAGCTATTATGACATGTATTTTTTTGGTTCATCATACATACCCTGAACAATAGTTTTGCAGGGTTTTGGGTGTCTCAGGACCTCTGCTGTATATTAAGAACTGGCAGCACTTACTGGAATACATAAAGGAGTTTACATTTCAGTATGAACCTGGAATTCAATTATTAAAATATTTCCCAAAAATGTACAAAGTGGTTTGAAATAAAAAAGGAGCTGGAGTAAATATGGGGGAGAAAAGTGATTTGTAGCATAAAATCATAGAATCATTTATATTGGAAAAGACCTTTCAGGTCACTGAGTCCAGCTGATAACCCAACACCACTGTGTTCACCACGTCCCCAAATGCCACATTCACACACTTTTTGAACACTCCCAGGGATGGTGATTTTTGTCCACAGTGCTACCTAATCTGAGTTACTGTTGTATTATAATATAATCCAGAATATGGCACAATCATTGGTGTGATTGAGATTATCACTGTGGGGATAAGAATCTGTTTTGTCCCATGATGGGCACATTAGGATTTTCTTGTTTCCTGTAGGAGAGTGACAGATTTTGAATTGTTGGTGTTTTTTGAAAGAAATTTTTGTTCAGGTGCTATTGTAATCTAGCGTGTTACATTAATCAAACCTTTTTTTTTAAGTGTTTGTGTAGTGTTTATGTGTGTAAGAAAAATGTCATTGACGTGATTACTGCTCTGCTGAATATTTTTGATATTAGGAGGATAGGATGATGGGTTTTCTTGAGCCAGTGACATTAGTAGAAGTCATTAATTTACTGGCATACTCAGTCACAGGGAATGTTTTCATTAAATTAAAGAGCAACTGAAATAATAATGCTTGGGATTTGGATAATATTGACTATGCCTCAGAGATTTTTAATGGGCCAGGATGAAGTGGGATAAAAAAAATCAGGAGGTTCTTTAGGAACTTGCAGAAGCCAACCTTTGCCTCCCAGACTTTTTATTTATAGTAGATTCATGATACAACATTGGTAAGCTTTCAGCAGTTTTGGTCATCACTGAGCTGCAAAGATAACTGTGTTATCCATGTTTTGGGAATACAATATGTGATTTTGTTTTTAAATTTTCTACCCAGTTATTTGTGCATTCTTCCTGAAGCATGAGAATGCAATTTTTTTTCTTACAAATGTGTTTTATTTGTGTGTCAGATTTTTTCCTTGTATTTTGAACAGGTAATAAATTTAGTGCTTAGAGCTACAAAAATGCAGCATAAAACATTAATATCTCTGAGGTCAATAGCATCAACTTTTGTTGACTGAGTTCCAGTTTAGCTTCTTAGTGATGGGCTGTCTAAAATTTCTACCTTAATAATGGACACATCTGATACTTCCTCTGTTCTTTGGGCTATAGTTCAAAACGACCGATTGATTTATGAAAAAGCATGCACTATGAAAGGTGATCTTTACTCATCAAGCTGTCACTCCATAACCTTGAAAATACAGAACAGAGGTTTGGGTTTTTTTGATTGGTACAAAAAATGGGAAGACACAAGTTCATGTGTTTCAGAAGAGGATGTAAAGGGAGCTAGTGGGCAGTCTCAGTGAATCAAAATCCAGCATTCTAACCATAGTCAGTTTGCTGACCTTGGGGACAGAGTTAGGAACTAGAAAAGAAATTTAAAAACTTGGAAGTCCAACTGAAATGCAGTGTCCACAACCTTCCTTTATACATTAGCAGTAATACTAATAAAATAACATACCTTGTTCAACTGCAGTTGGTGGGGTTTTTCCTTGTCTTCAATGTAACTTTAAAAAAAATATTATTTATTTCCCATTGCATTAAACATCACAACACAATTTTGTGAGCAAAGTTTGCTCAGAAGCTGTGGTTTGGGGACTGCTGCTGTAAGGGCCTGTCCCATCCTGATAAATTTCTGCCATAGAATCATAAAATGGCTTGGGTTGGAATGAAGGTGAAAGATTATCCAGTTTAAACTGCCTGCCATGGGCAGGATGCCACAGGACCACATTGCTCAAACCTCAAACCATTCAGTCTGTCCTTGAACACTTCCAGGGATGGGGCAGCCACAGCTTTTCTGGGCGACCTGTGCCATGGTCTCACCAACCTCACAGAGACAGAATTTCTTCCTGATAGCCAATCTAAACCTCCTCTCTTTCAGTTTACAGCCATTAGCCCTCATCATATCACTCCGTGCCCCTGAGAAAGGTCCCTCTCCAGCTCTCTTGTGGCCCCCTTAAGGCACTGAAAAGTGCTGTAAAGTCCCCCCACAGCCTTCTCTTCTCCAGGCTGAACAAGCACAACTTGTTTGTAGCCACTCCAAAAATCAGTTTAAAAGGAGGGCGTGGTGACTCAGAGCACGAAGCTGTGAGGCATTTCCATGTGGAAGAGACTTGTAAAAGCTACCTTGACTTGCCATAGTAGACACAATGTATGGCCTCGGCATTAAAAACCTACTAAAAGTCCTCTAAATTATTTGACAGCTCTGTGAGTGATGAAGGTACTTCAGTTTTCACAATTATTTGAACACTTTCCTTGTCAACTGGTAATTTTCTTATTGATTTATCCAGGGAAATAATTTTGGTTTGAATATCTTCTTTCTATAGGGGATTTTTTTTTTTAGTAACTGTCACTAATACACAGTATTACTGTTCTTCTTATGTTGTGAAGTTTTTGAGACTAATCTTGTCAAAGTACTGATTTTTTTTTCCTTACCAGACTGTTTATATTACCCTCTCAGTTAAAATAATTGTTTTACAGTATATGCATTAATCAACAATTTATTTTTTTAGCTACTTCTTAGCTAATTAGGAGACATTTCTGTAGTTTATGGTAACAGGAGTTTTGAATGGCCTGGTACTGTTTTTCACAGATGGCACTGAGGTTTTCCTATGCCAGCCTAAAAACATTTCCTTCAATGCAGCTGCATCCATTTTCACCTTCAGCTTTTAACTTATATCTCAGAAAGTAATTGGGGGAATATCTCTTGGAACATTCTTCTACAATACTTAACATTTAACTATTCATTTTCTAAAGTAGACTGTCTTTGAACTGTATTTATAAGTGTAAGGAGGTTTATATACTTAATAGTTACTTCCTAAATAAAACAATGGTTTGTTCTCAGCACTGTTTTGGTCACCAAAAGGCAGCTGGAAAGAAATTAACTCTGTCCCAGACAGACACAGTAAACATATTTAAAATTCAAGTTGTGTGAAAGTTACGAGGGTAAAACAGCAATACCATAAAAAGAATTCAATCTGACAGTATTTCACTTTTCTTCCAAACAAATCATAGAATCATTTGGATTGGAAATTATTTGGATCACTGAGTCTGACTGGAAATTAGCACTGCCAAGGCCACCACGGCCATGTCCGTAGGTGCCATGCTGACTTGTCTTCACAGATCTCCAGGGCTGAGGACTCAGCTGCATCCCTGGACAGCCTGTTCCGATCCTTGGTACCCTTTTCCACGAAAAAAGAGTCCTAATATCCAATCTAAACCTCCTCTGGTGCAATTTCAGGCCATTTCCTCTCATCCTGCCACTTATTCCCTGGGAGAAGAGACCCAGCCCTGCCTGGCTATACCCTCCTTTCAGGGAGCTGTAGAGAGTGATAAA